TATAAAAGCGTTGTATATTAAAAAGTTTTTTTTTATATTATTTATTTAAATGTATACTGGTTATGTAAGCAGAAATATTTTCGAGGAAAATAGTCTTGCTAGGTGGCGCCAGTGTGGATATATTTTGAAATACCGTATTTATGGTTCGAATTCGTTCGGATTTGGCGTATGTAATTGAAACGTAATAAATCATAGATTTCGAAAAAATTTACCTTGAATTGGCACTGAAGTCAAAACATAAAGTATATACGACATTAAATTCATGTTTTATTTGCGTGGAAGTTTATGTCACGTCACGCCGTGTCATTTGGCATTGTAAAAGAAAATTGAAAAAAGTTGCATTAATCCAAAAAACTCTAAAAACAACTAAAATTACTCCGAATCATATTAAAACAAGTTTCATGAAAAGAGCCATCCTCAATTCGCAGAGTTTTGAGATTTTGTAAGAAAAGAATATAAATCAATTTCCATTTTTGTCACATAACGTCACTCTCTTTAATTCCGTAAATTTACCGCATGGTTCGATTGCTTCTTTTTTTGTTAAATATGTATATAACTAATTATGTGCTACCCAAAGGCCCAAAGATGTAAAAGAAAACAAATGTGTTTCTTAGTTTGTATCTCATTGAAACGTACGACTGTCACGTACATGACTATGGAAATATCCATATTTAAAAAAGAAAGGCAGGATTTTTTGTTAGCATTGAAAATAATACTCTAGGCTTTGGAAGATTCTTGCTAAATCTCTTACATGGGACTAGTGAATGAACTACAGGCAGCAAGGCTGTGATAGAAGCGGCTGCGACAACCTTCCCAAAAACTGTGCTAGAATAGATACGTGCATTACAAAAGGGGGAAGATCTCGAATATTTTGAAGACACATTTATAAAGAGCGGTACGAGCCATTTAAGTCCACGGGTATAGATGGTTTACTATCTGCGTTTCTGCAAAGGGAGATTGTGCAACTTTCCATTCTAAGCTAAGCGATATCTATATAACGGGTGATTTTTTTGAGGTTAGGATTTTCATGCATTAGTA